CTCTCATCTTTTTAAGTGGGAGAACTTGCACAATTGGTGACTGACTAAATACTTATTTTCCCCACTGTAGTTCTGAGTCGGTGCAACATCTGTCCTATAGTGTACTGTCATATAGTGCACCCCTAGTGGACAAATTAGAAATAGCCGTGTAATTGAAAAATCCTAGTTTTTGTCTTATGCACATTGAAATTTATGTAGCGGGCCGCTTCCGGCCCGCGGGCCTTATGAATGACACCCCTGGTTTAGACAAAACTATGCTGAAACAGGATTTGTTTCTTTAATGTAGTTTTATTGAAGAAGTGAAAATGTAAGATACTATTTTGAACATGATCCTGCTGTTTTGTGCAGATCAGGTTTTTTTCTTCTTTGTATTCACCTTCAGAGAAGATTGGTCGATGTTTTGTTCCATCCAGGGATGGCGAGTCCCCACCAAGATACAAGAAGCCAGTTTGTGATAAAGAGTAGATTCTGATCTGCCCTGGATGGTCTGGGAACTGTGGTAAATGCCATTTGGTAGCACAAGTTGTGATTTAGTTGCACCATTGCATGGTGTGCAGTGGGGAGAGAAACTTGAACTGAGAAACCTTTCTGATGTGGATTAATACCACACTGACTGAGTAAAATCCCCTGGGGGTATTTCATTTGGMTTTATTTTATTTCCAACTGGGCCCAAAACATGAATCTTGCAAAGTGTTTGTTTATTTGAAAGTGTTTGTCGTGGAAATCTTTATTTTATCTAGGCAGAAACACGAGATCCATGAATAAAAAGAACTCTGTGAAATGGTCAATCAGGATTTATTGCAATTGCAGACACACATCATGTCGCACAGAGCAGTGGTACAAAATAAGTGCCCTGAGGCAGTTTCAAATACAYTCATTTATACAGAATGTTATCCAAACAGACGAACACTGGGCCAAGATAAACAGCAACAAGAATGATTATTTCTAAACAGATATTGTCCTGATCTTAAAACATTTTGTCCGAGAGAAAATAGAAGATAAAGAGTAAAATCATAAAATATACACTGAAATTTTTTAACACTGACAACCTAAAAAATTGAAATAATCTGACACACCTAATATGTTTGCGTTGACCAAATGTAAACAAACCATTTAGGGAAACCTAAAATTTTTAAATTCATGTAAACTAATTTATAAAGGTGAAGCAAACCAATATTTTTAAGTTGTTCTAAATCAAAATAATTACATTGGCTTTATTACTTAATGTAAAATATTCTATTAAACCTAACCTGGAATTTTTAAATTGACATAAATCACTTTTAAAGGCACAGTGTGTAGGATTTTGTCAATTATTTTAGCCGAAATTGAGATAATCACTAATGACAATAATAAAAAACATGTCTAATCATT